TTAGGTTGCCTGGACCAGGAGTTTGCACTGATTACACACTAGGTGAATCGCTACTAGTGCAGTGAGTAGAGCTGTAAAAGATATCAGGACCAAACGAACATTTCTAACCTTATTTGGTTTGTTGTTCTTTTTCCGTGAAATACTTATCCCCTTACCTATTTGTGATAGGGGGGGGGGGCGATGTTGTTGCCTAAAAATGACTGGTACGTTTTTCGCGCGTGCCTGTGACCAGATTGATTGAATGATCGATTGATTGACAGATGTCGTCAGCTAGCACACACGTACGCACTCATACCATGCGGACTGACCACTACAGCATCGACCGGGTCCATCCAATCAGATATTAGTACTTGACTATTCCCACGCTGATTGATTGGTTGACTGTAGGAATGCCTGCTTGACCGCAGCCGACTAAGGTGTGAGGGATGAGCCATTTGTTGGCCTGCCTGCCTGCCGGCCGGCCTGCCCTTTCCGGCCTTTGGACCGGCTACATACGTACCCCCTACAATAAGCGTACTTCAACTACAACATTGGTTGCGTGCTTATTTATTTAAACGGGACAACAGTGACCAGCGACCACTAATTCCCCAAACAGGAGCATTCTACAAGCTAACTACCCCCCCCCAAAAAAAATTGCTTCAATTTAACAAATGTTGATTATATTTGTGGTGAAAAACGAAATAGATCCGTAAAACCTCAGTTGATCACATGGAATTCGGAGACTACGTGGATGACCACATCTATCTATAGTTTGAGTGGGAGCATGCACTCGGTCTGTGCATCTCTATCTGTGCATAAAGAGAGAGAGAGCTATCAGTCGGTCAGTCGATCAGGACGGTTGTCGTACTGTCAGTCGGCTTTTGGGTATAACTGTCCGGATGGCGTTTGAACTACTTTGCTCAGGGCCAACAATTTTCGACACCGTGTTCGGTTTTGCATAATTCAAGGTTCCGGATGGACATCCCTAAGAAAGTTCCTCTACCCCATCTGGGCAACCAAGAAGTATGCTGCCTATAGTGACCCTGGGAAAGTCATCTTGTACTGAACTCCCAAGACTCGTCGCGAATACTAAATCCATGGAACCGAAGCATCCTCTACCAAGAAATAGTCGCATAAAAGTGTTACACGTGCTTTGTGTTCGGTATACTTGGTTGATGATGACGTGTGGGGGGTTCAGAGGCAAAGTTGGGAGATGACCTTCGATTATGCGAAATTTTCTAGGACCATTGCTGGTGGACAACAATCTGGTTGAAGAAGACTATGCTGTGCGTAAATTTTCAGCCCAGACGAACATAAAAAGGTGCTTCTTTTTGATAATAAATAGCATTCATGTACTGACTACTCACGAGTAGCAAATATAGCGAAAGTGAAATGAAATGCATCGCATTAACTCATGAAGAAACTGAAGCTGAAAAACTGTGAAAATAGCGTAACTGTTGAAAACCTATTGGATCTCATCAACCGCATGGAGCCATGGACGCAACTGAAGATGGAACTCGAGACCTAAGAAGCTCCCACAAGAAAGCAAATTAGATTGTTTCATTTTGTTTATACACAATACAGCAAGATGAAACAATAGTGAAACAGTTACGCATTGCTGAGCATACATTCGTCCATCGGTTCCTATTAACTGTCCGATCACATTATGCATTTTTTCCCAAATTACACACCTATGTTGGGCTCCAGGGTCTTCTCGAAAGATGCATTCTACGGTTAAAAAAACTGACCACCGAAGAAAGTGGACGATCACTCATCTCCTGGGCCAACTGCGGTCGTAACCTTAGATACTGCTTCGTGATTACCGTTTTCATCTTTGGGTTGCGATGTGTCGGAACAACAGAAATTCTTCTTTTCATCTTTGAACTATAACTCAGATCCTGTAAATTTCCTTTTTTATCGATTTATGAAAAACGTACTAAATTCGTTCTAATCAGATATATTTATAATTGATAGAAGCTGATTTTCACCCGCCTACTTACACTCGTCTAAATTCTCTGTAAAATATATCATGCTCTTACTTACGTCGGAAATTTGAACCAGGTTTGCCAAAGAAACGTCTGCATTTTCTGCAAAAAATTCACCAGGTATCTGAATTGTTATCGATCTCATGTAGTAACATGTACTAGGACACTGATGACTCGCTTATGCATCAGGCTCCGCTCCGTGATAGTCCAGCCCAGCACAAGCACTCGGAAGGAAATCAGAACGCAGTACGCAGCAACGAAGCAGTATTGTAGTAGACGGAAAAGGTGAGCGTAGAAGTTTATCGTGTTAGATGAAACAAATAAGTTCGTAGTCTTTGTGCAATCCCCAAATCTCACCGTTCACACTTGGCTTCACACGAATGAAGTCCACCAGATGGAATAGACTTCGCGGTAACTTCTTTTTGAAGTTATCCTGATCCAAACTGTTCATACCCGACAGACAGAAACAGATCAACTAGAGATCATTGTATGAAGAAGCAGCAGAATAAGTTGGCAATTCTCTGTGGTCTCAACATATATTAATTGTCTTCCACGCACCCCGTAGTCACCTCTGCAGCGTAAAAAACTGCGGTCACAACTTACTCCGACTGGAAAGAAAAACCTTTGTCAGAAAAAAGATGCTCACGGTCGTCGCATGATGAAGTTTCGTACTGCATACAGATTCAGGGAGTTGATTAAAATAAGATGGTATCAAATGTTGAGGAAAGATCCATTTATTGATTCCATACTGAAATGTGCCACCCGAATTATGGATTCTCGAATCTCGGTATTGTTTCAATTTGAGACTGTTCCTACCAGATATCAGTTATGGAGGGACTCTGGATTGGCCAGTAGACTTTTAACAGTTATTTCATCCCGTGTGACCATACATCCATCAGTTGTTTTAGAAGGACTAGTTTAAAAATGTCTTCTTAATTCGTTTTTTATTTATTGAATTTGCAAATGGACAGTCAAATTTCAGGAAAGGGGATGCGACCATACAAACGCTGCATGAGCAAATACAGAAATGGGGAAGATGGGCAGCGGTGGAGTAGTTCGGGTCACCATTGTTTTTGATGACCTTGACTACTTAACCATCACCACCCCCACCCCCACCTCCACCACCACCACCACCACCACCACCACCACCAACAACAACAACAACAACAACAACATGGAGGACGAAATGCGATTACTTGTTGAAATCCGTTATACACTGGACAATAACGTTATTTGAAAGTAATAAATGTTTCAACTTTGTCGTGTATCAGCAGGGGTACGCATTCATTGATCCAAGTTTGGGTTTAAACGTAAGCTTACGGCTCTCCTGTTAGCAACGAAAATCAAACTGAACTCGTTTTGGCACTGTGTGAACAGGGAGTCATTGCATTAGTGCATCGTATATCCATCCTGACATCATGCATATATAGTGTTACAGCCCAAACCGACTGAGAGGTAGTCGTATCCCTTGGTGCAATGGATTGACAACAAATACTATTATATTAGCTCCACGTGTCCTAATTTGTTCGAACTCCAGTCAAAAGTATAATAGATAGCTTGTTTCTTTGTGTAACGTGTCTGATGCTGTACCAGCGCACGGTGTATAGTGAGCAGTTTACAATAATCACTAGTCATCCACTTCTGGAAGTGCAACGATCCAGCAGAAATATCACTTATTGATTGATGTTTCAAGTGATCACTCTGTTTGTCAAAGATTTCAAAAGAAAAGACCAAATTGCAATACTGCACACTTTATGTCCAGGACGATTTCGCTGCATCTCAACATGGTGCATACTGCAGAAAAAACATCAGTTATATAGGAATTTAAGGGGGGAGATTAAAAAGACTATCACCAGGGTAAGGACAAACTAACATAAAGTTCTTTTTGTTGACACAAGGGGGGCTTCCATCGACTGATAGCAATCGCTTCTGCAAACCGTAGCAATCTTGTGATTCGTGACTTGTAGATAATCCGAAACGCCATGCTTCGGTCGATCTGGTGTTGCGTCATCAGAAGATGTCGAGCTATGGCTGATGACGGAGTCTTGTAGTTTCGACCGTTGTTTCTATGCCGCGGAACTGACCCAGATTGCATCATCTGACTTTGAACCCAATTTAGAATATGTTCAACCACCCGGTTGCGTCACTGTCACTCTGTTCTGCCTACGTAGGTCGCTCTGCACCCACATTGGAATTGGTAAATCAGATTAGAGTTGGCGTATAGAGGAAGACGTTCTTTTTCGGGGATGGGGGTATTCTATCTCTCCGATAGACGATTTGGGGGTCGGCTGCATAGTAGGTTCGAGCAATTGCCAATCGTTTTTTGAACAAACTGCTTACGTCATCACCTTCGAATTGGAGGCACAACGTGACTCGTAATTTTGGGGCTGACGTAATCGTTTCATTTACAGCTCTTGGTTTGCTGTGTTTATTGACGAACGTTTCGGGGTAAGCGTTTTCTGCTAACATCTCCCGAAGGTGTTTTAGTTCTTGTTCAATTTTGTCCTCCGTGCAGATCCGTCTCGTTCTGCTGAATAGAGAGTCCGAACAAGACCACGTTTATACTCCAGGGGCAAAAAGCTCTCGAAGCGTAAATATTGGCCTATCCAGGTCATCTTTCAGTAAACGGATCGGGTGATCGTTCCGTCTTCTCTTCGCCTCAGACTGATGTCGAGGAAATTCAGTGTGTTGTTGGCTTCGGATTCCATTGTGAAGCGAATATTTGGCAGAACAAATACTACTATTGATCAAATATACAACTACTACTGCTACTGCTACTACTACTACTACTACTACTACTACTACTACTACTACTGACGTTCGGTATGGTGAATACAAGAATGCGCATCTAATGGTGACTCGTCCATGAACTATCCCGTGTGCGTGTGGGAAATCTGCAACCTTGTTCCAGATGAGATATTTTATTGTATGAACGAAAATTTAACCATATCTCGAACGCTATTGGCAATAAACAACTATCCTCGACCAATACCGTCTTGTGGAATTATAACAATTGGTGTCGTCGCCAGAATCAGGATGAAGGTTCCATGGCCAGCAGCCTTCGAGGATGGAGACGTGCGGATGTTCCTGGAGGAGTTGGAGGATGTGGTGGAGCTGGCCGGAATACGGACGGATCGCGGTAAGTTGACGACTCTCCGATGGCTTCTCAAGGGCAGTGTTGAACGCGGCACGAAGAGGCCCGGAGAAGATGGAGTGGGCCGCCGCGAAGGACGCCTTGATCGCGGGCTGTGACACTCCGGCCGACCGCCAGGAGGCATTCCGTCGCTTCAAGACGGCGCACCTCGGAGTCGGTGTGGACCCACTTTCGCATGCCGTGGCCTTGCGTGGGCTATTTGGATCGCGCACTACCGACAGTGGATGAGAACGCGTGCTCGGAACTACTCCTTGACCATTTCATTGAGAGCCTCCCTGAAGACATACCTGAGAAAGTAAAACTCACCAATGTGGCACGTACCATGGACATAATGACGCTAGCCGAAGTTGTGAGGCAGTTCATCGGTCAGGAAATTGACGCGGTGCGAACGCAGGAAGTCCATAATGATGAGCCGCCGGAAGACATGAAGGCCACATTGGACAGACTGACGGATGAAGTGGCGGTACTTAAATCAAATTTCGGACGGAAGAAAAACAAATGTATGTTTTCATTGTGGCAGGCTAGGTCATTGGAGGCGAAACTGCCCTGAGAGATAAAATAAATCCTCTTCAAATACACGATTGATTCCGTACACGCACTTTCTCTCGAACAAAGCAGTCATTAGAGTAGTAGATCGCGGGGCGGTACAGACCATGTTGGAGATCGAGGGGCACAGAGAACTATGCTTGATCGATACAGGTGCGACAGTGTCTTTGGCTAGACCATAACCAAACGAGCTCCTGGAAACGTGGAATACAACTATGAAAACAGTCATGGGTTACCATTTGAAGGTAGACGGAGTAGCCAAACGGACGGTTTGTGTTGAAAACAGTACAATCAAGCACCCATTTGTCGTAACAAAAGACACGAGCCAGACTATAGTGGGGGCAGACATCTTACGCAGCTTAAGGGCCGTGGTTGATCTGAACAACGAACAGCTTGTTACCAACTTCGGCACGATCCCGTTGTTACGCTCCAAAAGGAAGAGGTTGGCAACCGTGAGTACAGAAACAACTCACATGAATGTGTCTCCTTCTTTTCGGCCAGTGGTGCAACGATACTCCCACCTGTTCACAGGCGATGATGACCCGTACGGGTTCTGTAACTGGGTCAAACACGAAATTCCAATAAAGGCAGGAAAATTTCGAGCCCATGTTCCACGTCGAATTTCACTACACTTGGAGGATGAAGTCAGGCGACAGGTCGAACAGATGTTAAAGGAAGGAATCATCGAAGAAACTCGAAGTCCGTATAACTCGCACGTGCTGCTGGTAAAAAGCCCAACAGTAAATTTTGGTTCTGTGTGGATTTCCGCCAAGTAAACACTGTGACTATAAAAAAGCCAGTCCCAGTCCCGACTGAAGCAGAAATTTTTGACCAACTGCAAAGCGCGAAAGTGTTCTCAGTTGTGGACCTACGATTGGGATATTGGCAAGTACCAATAGAAGAAGCTGATCGAGAGAAAACGGCGCTCACAGTCGGCAATAAGCAATATCAGTTCAAACGAATGCCATTCGGATTATCAGGATCACCATTTACATTCCGCCTCCTCATGCTGAAGGTACTCGATGGTATCACGAAAGTGGTGATATATAGTGACGATATTGTTGTCTAAAGTCAAACTACAACCGAACACACATTTCACTTGGAAACTGTCCTGAAACGAATCCAAGAATCTGGTCTTCGGAATAATGGATCGAAGTCCCAAATCGGGAAGCCGACAGTGACTTTACTTGTGCACAAGGTTGGAAACGGAGAAGTGAGGCCACTTGCTGAGAAGATCCTCAAGTTAAAGGAGTTTGCGAGCCCAACATCGAAAAGAACGTTAAGACGTTTTCTGAGCTGTGCCGCATACTATAGCCGGTTCGTCAAAAACTTTACGAATATCGCTGAACCGTTATACGCCTTGCTCAAGAAAGAATATTGCTTCCGATGGACATCAGAGGCCCAGAAAGCTTTGGATGAACTCCAAAGGATCATGACCGAATAACACCTGACACTGGAGTTGCCGGTGATTGGCGAGCGCTTCAAAGTGGTAACGGATACCAGTGACGTGTTAGTGGGAGCCGTACTCAAACAAGCAAGTGGAGTGGTAGAATACGCCAGCAGAGCCCTTACTCCAACCGAAAGGAAATATTCCACCACGGAAAAAGAATGTCTTGCTATCGTTTGGGCCGTAGATAAGTGGCGACCATACCTTCTGGGTCAAAGGTNAAAGTAACCCGATGCGCGCTTCGCCTTCAGGAGTACGACTTCACGATCAATCATGTTGCAGGTACTGAAAACTGTATGGCGGATATTTTTTGTCTCATCAGGAGGAAGCAGATTCCTTCACTGTCAGTATGCGGGCAGTGGGACAAGACCCGTACGAATTGGTGAAGGAACAGTGCAAGGATCAAGAACTCCGCAAAGTGATCGAAGCAATCTCAAAAGGCCAGCAATACCGAAACATTCAACAAATGAAGTCATGGAAATCCGTATGGAATCAGCTTTATTTGATTGCCGCTTAATGAAACGACAGCCAAAATGAAGGTGCCAGTGGTCATCATTCCGAAACAGCTTCGCCAAATTCTTATCAAAGAAAGTTACGAACTGGCACACACTGGATGCACTCGAACCGACGATCTGCTTCGACAGCGGGCATATTGGCCAAATATGCAGACTTATGTAACAAACCAGGTGCTGGCGTGTGAAAAATGCCAACTTTTCGAGTCAGACTTCCGCCCATCACAATGTCCAATTCAGTCAATACCAGTATCCGAGATCGGTGAATTATGGTCCATCGACCTCATGGGTCCATTTCCGATGTCCCCTAGAGGACACCAATACATCGTTGTAATGACAGAGCACTTCACGCGCTGGATTGAAGCCGTAGGAGTCGTG